CTTTGCTTGGTTGTACATATTATAAATAACTGTAATAATTTTACCATTTATATGGTTAGAGATTAGTTTAAACCATAGACTTGTTCTGTCAATTAGATCAAACGCTTTTTTATAGTCAATAAAAGCACAGTATACCCTTTTCTTATTATGCAAATATAAATCAATAACCGAGTGTAGGACAAACATGTGATCTAGCGTGGAATATCCCGCCCTGAAACCTGCTTGCTGGCATTTGTTAATGGTCACATAGAGAGTATGTCTGAAACATGTACACAATAGTTCATATAAGTTGCCAAACTGAGTTGAGCTGAATATAATTTGTATTCATGAAATAGGTTAATATTGTATCTCAGATCATCGCAAAGTGTGTCAATCCCAAATGATATTATGTGATACTTGAAACTCTTACCTATTGTATAGCATAATGTCTGGTTTCCATATAATATCAGATGGAACAATCAGAGCAAACGAACCCCCGTACTCATCCGGGTTCCAAGTGAAGTTATCGTCTGTCCAGAACTAGAACACAAACATCATGTAAAACTAGTGTTGTTCATTGTTTTGTTTTTTAAAAGAAGATATTTGTTGTCACCGTCCTCAAATCCATTTGCTGTACGATTTAAAGATGCTACGATTTCTGCATGAAAGTCAGTATAAACAGGTTGATAAAGATTTTCTAATTACGACATTATGAAATTCTATTATTTTTTTTTTTCAAAAAACAAGCTTACCATTCGTATCCAGATGCTAGTGGTCAGTATCTGATTTTTTTCATCCTGGAAATAAAGCACACAACAATTTACAACTTGATGTAATTTCTAAAGTTAGTGCTGTTGATGTACGAATCGTGGATGAAGCTATCTCTATGATATATACAGGATTGAATTATTTACTTGGACACATGTTTAACTTGATGTGTATTTTTTAAAATCAGTTTTACTGGGGTGTGATTTATCATAGTTTTGTAGCTGAGAGAACTGTATTTATACAAAAATACTGGAAATACACATTGTTATATTTGCTACATCTTTATGCTCTAGAATGCCAGCTACCCAAAGCATGGGATCCACAAACATGTCAGTATGACAATGATATCATTTACTAGTTTACGGGGTACTTTAAAATGAATAATTTTCACTGGGTTTACATTTCACTGTTTTAGCATTCCAGGCATATTAGTGGGTTTTAAATTCACGTTTTTTTTTCATTTGCATAATGTGTTCTATGCTCAATTTAAATATTCACTGGGTTTTAATTTAGCGCATTTTCCAGTCAGCGAAATAAGCAAAATTAAAACCAAGTGAATAATTAACCCCTCTGCAGTATTTACATTGTGACAATCAAATCAAAATTGGTTCAATAAATAACTACATTTTCATTTCTCGTTGCTATACCGACATTGCTATTTGTAAATTGCCACGTGAATCTTACCATGTCTATTATTTGCTGTAAGGCGGCGTCGTACTGAACAATCACGGCAGCTGACGAGTTTGCTACAGGGCGTACTACGTTACTGTAGTCTGAAAACAGATCTCGGAATAGGCTGTATTCATTGATAGATGACGTCATCATGCCTGAAATCATAAAAAGGGACGCACGTGGTAATATTTATTTTACAATTATTATGTAAGAGTATATATTGTGTATATCGATGTTAACAAATGAATCGACACCATGTATTACGTACCTTGGACGTACATGACAAATCGCAATGTGGGCTTATTAGTATTCCAATAATCAGTCCTGCGTTTGGAGAGTTACAGATGTAACGTATACTATTCTATAACGTGTAACTTCATACAATTCAAATGAACCCGTTTCAATTTGATTTGTTTACAATTCTGTAACTTTGATTATGGCCAATGGGATTGTGATAAACAATTAGTGTATGTACTAATGCTTTCACGACGTTTAGGTTGCCACTAAGATTGCCAGGTAAAAAATATTTAGCACTTCACAGAGACGATGTTAAGGCCAGACTTTTTTTATTTCTTGTTTCTCGAGTTTTTATAAGGCACTTTTTTTGAAGAGAGCGGAAAAAAATAAAATTATTTTTTTCCCCATTAGATTTGTGTGATTCCCAAAGAATTGTAAGTGAGATCATTGATCGGAGAAAAGAAATGAAATAAAATTTTATTCCATGTATAACCTTGTTTCTCATCTGCGCGAGACTTCGGTACTTTGATCACGATACTACCACGAAAATGCAACTTGGATTTGTTATGCGGCGGGCGGTAAAAAAAATGAAGATAAAAATAATATTTTTTTAGCGGGCGCGAGAAATTACACTGATTCAGAAATAAAATTATATTTTTATTTCATTTTTGGCTCCTGTTCATTCGGCGGGTTCGCGAAACAAGGGATAATAAAAGTCTGGCCTAAGACAAGACTTACCTTGTGCAATTGAAACCGATATAACAACAAGAAGTACGTAAACCTTCATTATTGCAATTGCTGAGTGACTGTTCACTCTCATATGTTGAGAGAATATATAATGAAAACTAGTTGGATGGTAACCAGGCAACTTCTATACATGTGACTCGTTCTCGCGCCACCAGCAGGAAAGTAAATATCCAATCATGTAGGCGAACACTGATATAATTAGCATAATGCTACCTTTCACCTACAGGTGTGACGTGGACGTATTGCATATATCATGGTTACTAAAAAGATACAGATACTTTGTTTATGTATTTTGTGTTAAAATTAATCCCCGCGAAAAACACAAACCCGAAACGTTTGCACTGATTGAGAATGTAAAACCCACAGAATCGGTGTGGGTTATGCATTCATAATAGATTATTCAGGTTTTCCGCCAAAATGAAGGGTTCAAGTGAGGCTACCTTCCAAATCAACTGTACCTGTATAACTAGTTTAGAATACTTTTCAACTACCCCTGTATAGCCAAATGAAACTCGACCTACATTAACAACACTCTCAATGAACGTTTCAACTAAAAACATTGGTTATCCACTCATCAGATAAAATAGCATTAGTCGGAACACAATGCGACCTCGACCATGTTAACAGATTCTATTGGTTTCACATTCAACAAACATTCGGAATCAGACAAAATTTATTTACAATCGACCCATGGCTGGAAGGAACAAACGTAATGAGGAATGACGTTACCAAAAGAAAATTGTGCATTACTTTTCGCCTTTGTATTATCCCCAGATTTCTGGTTTCAGTTACTTTAATTGTTTTATTAAATTGTCTATGATTGTGTGCTCTTTTGATTTCAGTTACTTAATTGTTTTATTAAATTGTTTATGCTTGTTATCATAGTATGTTATCAAATTAATGTTTTCAGTGAGCTGTAGATGACCTTTGAATAGATTACCCACAATCCTTCACGTTTCTAAAACTGTCTATCGAGGTGTTGTAATCACTGCGACAATTGTGTTTTACTGGATAATAAGTCGAATGCGCGCATGTTGAGACAAGGTTGTCCATTTCGGCGCTGTTGTGTTAATTTCGGCCTACGCTTCCTATAATGTTTCTCGAAACACTCAAGGTATTGATAAGAACGTCGTTTTAAGCGTTTGAAAAAAATAAAACGTACGTCGTGACCAACCATTCTAAACTGTCTAATTTCACAGTATTGTGTCACCGGGTGTAACAAATTGTTTATTTACGTTGGAAAGTACAATAATCGATCAGTCCAGTTACCATATATTGGAGACATATACATGGAAAAAACAATCAATAAACTGGCAACTCATTTTTTTAGCGTTGGCAATTGAACCAATTTATTTTAAAATCGCCGTTACGGTTTTTACTACAATCAACATGTGTTCCAGACTCTGAAGATTTTGAAGCACGAATGAGAAACTGTCAAATAACGGAAAAACGTCACATTACGCATTCCTTAAATATATGTGTATTCAGTTGGAGTTATCACGTGTTCAATAAGCAGGGGGCGGGGTATGATTTATTTATTATAACGCAATTATAAACTAACAGACACGTGACCGCTACCAGAAGACAACTGAGAATGTTCAAATTGACATTACATAAGGCGAAGAAAGTCTGAAATTACGTTTTCAATTAATTGGGTAAAAGTTGACATTTTCAATTTTTAAATCATCGATTCATATAAAACATTTTAGTATTCGGTGTTGAACATGTACTCTGGAAAGGGGTGGTTAGAATTCTATGCATACAAAAATGCCTGATAACCGCATTGTTAGCAGTAATTAAAAAAAATGCGAATTAGACAGTCGTTATTAGTCATTAGGACTTTGGCTTTGTGCCTGCGGTCAGTTACAGTCTGTGAGTAATTCTTGTGTGTTCATTAAAATGGGGCCATAGCTTAGAATAATTGTTGTTTTACAGCTATATATTTATTATGGATTTCTGTTGAGAAAACATCAGGTACTGTGACCAGTTTTCGGCACTATCCATGAATGCCCAGAATAGCAGTGCATATAAAAATGACGCCTCACAAGAATTAGGGTGATGATGACTGTTTGGACAGACAGTTTTTTTTTTTTTTTTTTGGCTGGCTGGCTCGCCCGTCGTATGTATCCTGTTTGAAGTTTAAAGCGAAAGGGTCGTCACCTGCGCACGCGCGGGAATTGAGTCCCAAGCGAGATAACAACACACGCTAAAAACGCAGGGGCTTATGGGTAGAAACTTGTTTGTAAACAATGACACACTATGGCCATCTGACGCATGCGCAGGTGACGACTCCCCCGCTTTAACATTACAATTCAGTACACTAATAAAACTACTTCATATTACTATGCTATAATGGTTCATCTGATATTTTCATTGAGGTATACACTATTTTCTTGATACCACAAACATATTCGTTTCGGAGAATTATGTGTTGCTTTGGTAACGCGACGTAGAAGTAAATATGTATCTCTTTATTTGGCAAGTTACTAATTTACCCGTAGAGAGCGCCACCACTGACCACTAAGTTGAACTTTGGCTTATAACCAGGCACATGAAAACTTATTGTATTTCTTCGTTATACAAGTAAACGTATAGCGATGATTTTCTCGCCAATCGGCGTGGTTCTTTTCACTCTCACGGCGTTCCCTGTAACCTATGGTTATAACTATATACTCAAGTACACCGGTGACAATCATTGGACTGTGTTCGGGGTAGCAGTCGCTGTCTTGATAGTTTTATGCTTTGTCTTTTACATATTGAGCAAACTATCTGACCAAAATGAAAGACCAAGTGATCCACTGTTCTACGGTAAGTGTCCGATTCATGTCACAGAATTTGCTAGGTGAGATTGACAGGCCTCAATCTTGATAGGTCAAAGGTCACTCGTCGATGGCCGGCTCATACTCCAATTAGAATTCTATAGACGACAATGTTAGCGTTTGGGTGAATTTCTGTTAAAAAAAAAAAAAAAAAAAAAGGTTACAAAGATCAAAATATTGTTGAAACCACGTGTATAATAGAATTCTGGACAGTAAAACACATGTTGGCCAGCTCAAGCTCCTACAAAATGAATGTAAAGAAAAACACACAGATTTGTCAGTCTTTCTCAAAAATGCAGCCAGTTTGGAAGTGTCCAACCAAGAGTTGCCCAGATCCACAGGTCACCAGTACTTGTCAGTAAACAAAGCCACACACACAAATCTAACAGCTGACGTATTTGAAGTACGCCCTCATACATCGCGTTTCAGATAAAAATAGATAGAAAGAGAACATAAACAACAGCCATAACATTTTGCTATGAACGCTGATAGCCTAATTAATGGTGTGTGACCTTTACAGCCCGGGGGATCAACCTTTAAATGTTGTCTAGGAATTATAAACTAGATCACAGCCATTGGGCCAAAAAAGTAAGTACGCAAATAAATGAAACCTACAAATTTACAAGTGTTATGGTATAGTAGACAAACGCAGCAACACGCTTATTTTCGTCATTCTGTGAAGCGAGTAAATTGAGAAATTTGGTTTCAGATGGAGGAGTGAAACAGTCATACTCTGAAATAGTTGTTAGCATTCGTATACTAATCTGACGGAGAATAAAACCAAGTAGCACAGTCATGGAACCAAGGGTTACTTTAACTAAGCCATACACCGTGGATCTAATTAGGTAAAAAACAACAACTTATGTTGCCCTCAGGTCGGAAAATTGAAAAATTGGGTCGGACGGTCGGATTTATTTCCCAGAGAAATACAGATCAACCCGAGGTTCAAAGTCGCCACTTATCCCCCGGGAACCCTGGGGATCAAACAACGGTCCGGGATCGTTAATTTTTAGAGGAAACACTTTTTTACTGCTTAAAATGATGAGTTTTTACTATTTGGGCCTATTAAAAAAAAAAAACAAAAAAAAAAACAAAAAAAAAAACAAAAAAAAACCGCGTCCCGATATTTCATATTTTTCGGTCGCAGAGGGCAGCAAAACATTTTTTTTTGGCCTTATAACAAAATCAAAGCATGCAAACTAGACCATCAGCCACAGAAATGTAACTCATCAGCACACGTTCCACATATAGGTTTGTGAACACTGTTTTTGTATTTCGTCCCTGGTGACTTAAAACAATTGATAAGTTATGATGATCGAATACAGGATGGCCCCACTGATATCCAAACCATAGCCGAGGGTCGGCAAGGGTTTTTTCTCGAAAGCTGTAATCAATTGTTTTTATTTTCGTAATAATACAATTTAAATAAATAAAAAAACGTAAATTCGTAGACATGTGCAAGGTGTAAAATGTAATCAGCTATATTGTTCGTCCGTAATTTGCAGAAAGATCTTATTTTTTGTAAGCGTATAAAGCATTTTCCACATTAAATTTCGTAATTCGTACGCAATTTCCAATTTCGAATCTTAAACACAAATTATCAAATATATTATAAAATGCAAAATGTAATTATGAATATGCTTTATCTGTGAAGTGTAAAAACCTATTTTTACTGTAAATGAAACTTTCATTTTATTTCCTGTAAAAACGTAAAATGCCTTCTTTATTTACTGTAACCTGTACCCGGTATCCCCTCTTGCCCCCTTCATACCATGTGTCTTAGAAAAATGTGTATGCACATAACTCGTCGCGTTTGTAATACATTGATCCCGGTATTAAGACAACAACTTAGAAGTAACTTGATTACTACAAGCTCCCATTGCATGAACCAACCTGACCCAAATTAATACAAGCCCACCATTCAATACGCTCAGAGTTGATGTGAAACGATTCATGTTATTAAACATTTTTATTACACGCTGGTGAATTTAGAAGACTTTCCTGCAGGTGCGGCTCCTCTTCTGAAAATTTTTACTATATGTATTACTTGGATGATCAGTTTTTATAACAGAGAGGGGCGGGACTGAAGTCTCTTTTGACAAATTCTCCAGATACGCAAATGTAACTTACAGAAAAATGTACAATAGCAATTTAAAATACAACAAAATTTGATATTATAATCAAGAAGCTCAGCTTCATCCAGTGTCCACCCTCTTTCTTTATAGATAGATAGTATTTTCTGCGCATGTGTACGGAAGTTTTATATTTTCCGGAATCGAAGTCAGCCCAAAGCACTAACACGTATTAAAATATCTTTAAATATTCGAGAACTAATTGTAAAATCATCATTTAAAATCATATATGGCTCAATAGTTCGTCCGAAACATTGCAAGGTCGAGATGACCTAATTAGAGACAGGTTTCTTGCATATGACCTCCTATGTTTTTATTGTAGTGTTTTTGGTGCTGTCTTTTACGGCATTGGTAGATCTTATAATAAGTCTAGAAATTGATGGGTATATTCATGGATTCATGGAATTCTATTTAAAAGAGGTAAGAGTTTATATTTTTCCCGAGATATCTGAGTGTTCTACAAATGGTTCGGTGAAATAGTATAATCATGAGTGTGTTGTTCCAGTCATTACTGTTTGGTCAAATGTACCACCGGCCACCGTCGAGATATCAGAGAGTGAATTACTCGTATTATTTGAAGTAACAAAATTGAGAGATTTCTAGACTGGTTATTGGTGCAAGCAAAAATTCTATGAAATTTATGGCTCAAAACAATCTCCTTATAAAATTATGTTCGTTAAAGCGAGAGGGTCGTCACCCGCGCACGCGCGGGAATTGAGCTCCAAGCAACGATAACAACACGCGCTTAAACGCAAAGGCCCATGGGTAGACGCTTGTTTGTAAACAATGGCACGCTATGGCCATCTGACGCATGCGCAAGTGACGACTCCCCGCTTTAAGAGTACACTGCATTTCAAACAGGATAAATCGTGGCTATAGTGAATGAGCAGGCTTTTAAATAATCATGCTTCCTCCCGACCTTTCTTGTTGTTGACTCCGTGGTGTTGATTTGATAACAGGGCGAGCCATATCTAAATACTGCCCATGGTAAACTGTGTGTATACTGGGATGGTACCGTGCATTACGTCACACAGATGTCCATTGCCATACGATGTCTGCAAAAGTAAGTACCTGATGTAAAATACCCATAGGCCCATTTAAAGCGCCATAGTCTTTGCACCGCGTCGTGTTTGTTTACATGAAATTTAAACGCGTGTGGTATGACGAGTGTGCGCTTTAATATGAAATGAAACAATGTAGACATTTTACTCATAAACATCAACGCATTACGTAAATGATATATCGGTAATGACACCTGTCTTTGGTTTTTGTAATTACGCCCTCCGGCGGTCAACTGTATCTATAACGCCAGTAGCATGGAGCGACGTAAGCTGCGTGTTTATCCGTGTATTAAATAATGAAGTAAAATTCATCTCGTGGTTTCATACACGGTATACATACATAGTGAAATGTCAGAATATCGATGTATAGATCGTTTGTTTTTGTGTTTTTGTATTCGTATTCTATTATTGTAAATATAAACGCTATGTTAGTGCACCATCTAGTCGCCGTACGGCGTTCACATTTCAGGAAAACACCAAATGTATTTCACGTCTTACGCGACGATGAACCATTTAAGATGAAGATGAATTTCCATGATTGGATTCGAATTGAAAAATCCGTACATTCTGTGGACGAGCTGCACGATGAGCCATTTTGTACATGTATATAATTATTAAAATAAATATTCTAATGATGATTTTTCAAGTTGTAAATGATTTCTCATATATACCTGTTTTTTTCTCCCAAGAAAAAACTATGATCACCTCGCCCTCTATTGGTCAGGATCGCTTGGGAATATCGTACTTGTTTATATACTTGGTACCATGACAGGTAGTCACGCCGGTGAAATTAAAGCATCATTTTTACTGACGGTTCCGTATTTAATCATCCCAGTGGTTATTGGCTGCATTGTGATTAGGAGAAGAATGTTAGCGGTAAAATTTGATAATCGCAAGGTTTGTAATCAACTAAGCTGAAACTCATTGACAATAAACGCCGACCACGTTACGAGTGGCGCAAGACACGCTGCTGAGATAATGAGTCTTGGACCCCGGATGTTGTTTTCCTGACCGTATCATTTGTACATTTCAGGTTCGCATTGCATACCAACAAGATATTTTAACTCGACCAATGGATATCCTGCTCATCACCTACTTGATATTTTCAACGTTTATTACTGTTATACGTGGCTTGGTAAGTCATCAAGAACAAATAAGCTGAATGGACCAAAACTAGTGTTTATCAAAGGCTCTGAAATGGACGTCTTGCTTCGTCGTTCCTTTTTGCAAGTTTGCTTTTAATTTTAATTTTAATCGGCTTATTTCAGTGACCAAGAAATACCTTTTGGCCGATATTAAGTGACGATATGCAAACAACAGAACTAGACTACGCGCATGTATTACTTTTATCAATTACATGTTTTCGGCTAACAAGTTCTTGTGTTTACTCGAATGTGTAATCTGTGTAGTGTTTCTGTACTTCAAGAAGTCAAGTCCAATAGTGAACTACTCGGAGGGATTTGGGCATGTTTAATACAATGCGAGGCGCCGCTTAGTCTGAGATAATGAAATATTGTTGCAATATTTTGTTTTTGCTTGATTAATTGATAAGCAATACTGTTCAATGTATAGCAATTTTGTTAGCAAACAGCGAATATATAAATTGCAACATTGCCCAGCAGATTATTCTCGCGATGACAAAATCTGTAATGACAAATTTTCGGCGGTTTTCACTGTAAATAGGCAATGTGGATAACATTGAGTCAGTTATTTATACGAATGTTGCATTGTGCATTGACTTACACACGTATATACGGATGTTATTTACCTAGGCGGCACTGGATTGCACGTGGCCATCAGTGCAGAATTACGTAACTAAGTATGAACCGTACATCGGAGATCCAATAGGTTACCCACGGATTCAAGTAAGTAAAATAAAAGACATGGTCGAAAAATGCAATCACCGACGAACAAAACAGCATAATATATTTGAAAATATAACATTATAACTTCGATGCTGTTTAATGTATGTATTACGCACTTCGCCCTAAATATTGGCGACATCCGTCCGTATTATTTACATGTAAGCATATCCATTAGTGTATTGTGATTCCATTTTGTTGTTAGATGCTGGTGTACCTGTTGTATTTTGTACCCTTCTATGCATTCGCTATATATGGGCTTGTAGTACCTGGAAATACATGGATGCTGAACTGGTCCCTAATATATGCAGGGGTGACTAGTCAGGTAAGACGCGACAATTATCCATTTTTACTAGCTCGTTGTTGTTTTATGCATATCCAACCATAGACCTCAGAAAGTATAAATCACGGTTACTAATAATGTAACCATGGATAAATATTAGTCAACCATTTGTCACCGCACATTAAATCAGCCGAGTAGTTACTGATGAAAAAACGAATTGTAACTCTACATATATTAAGTGTCATCTAAAAGTATAAAAAATGGGTCTTGTATAATTGAAATCTAGTAACAATTCTATGTAATGAACACAAACACTGAAAGACGTGTTGCAAACTGCGCGGCCGATTGATTGTGAATGACGTCATTCGGCTTTCTTAGCTTGGTCATTTGTTATAACTGTTGTAACCCACCTTGCACGCCGGATGTCGTGAAATCCTTTGTTTTAAAATCCAGTTGCCCGCCCTCTCTTTCTAAGGTCTATGATCCGACAAACGCGGCGTTGATTTGTGCGGAATATTTGAGTATAATCTCCCATTGACAATAAACTGCTTACAGCAATTTGATCGAATGAAGGCAAAACCATGAGCGCCATAAGTTGTCTTCTTATTTTGACACTTTCGCTTTATTATTCACAGTCACAAATCATACACTTGTGTGCGGCGTTTCATAAACTCACAAGACCCGCCTTCCACCCACCTCGCCTAGGCAGAGAAGGATTTATATTGGTTAACATCAGCCTGCAGGTTATACCACAACTGTTGGCATGGAGATGTAACAATTATCCCGAAATCTTTGCGGCGTTACCAGAAGATTCAAGTGACACAGTGAAGGCAAAGAAAGAATGAACGTATTAACAATAGTTGTTACACTGTCATAACTTTAACGTAGTGTACAATTAATGTTGTAGTATCGAAACACTAAACATGTTTAACACTTTTCATGTTGACCTTTGATGGCCAAGTTTGTATTACAAACCAATTACGGTAGCCAGATGAAACGTAAATCGAGAAAAATGTACATTAAATTAGAGGGCGTACTGCCTGAAACACTACTTGTTTGGGCGTTGGTGGCGGTTGGCCGATGTCGATGTTCCATATACTCAAGTGTATTCTATTATTAATTTTAATATTCATAATATACACATAGAACGCACGTGCTTTCAGTATACAAACCTACTATGTTAATTACGTAATACCTCATTACCAGAGCCATTGTCAGCAAAATTACAAGTTACGAAATAATTGGAAAAAATATGGAGATGCTGAATTGTTATACGATACGACTTTTTGTTTTGTTTAACGATATATATCTCTTGTAATTCGAAGTTCGGTTAACTGATAATTAAAACTGGAGTTAGACAATTCGAACGTCCGACAACAATAAAAACTTATGTTGCCCGTAACTCGAAGTTCTGTTTATTGAACTTCGAGTTACAATTTGGGCGTCGTTTCTAAAATATGGGCGTTGTCATTTTTGTAACTCGATGTTTTCTTAACTCGATGTCCGTAACTCGAATCATTCAGCATCTCGACAATATGACTCCACACAATTATACACCCATCAACAAGTGACTTTGTCAATGTCATGGATGAAATAGCTACCCTTGAATTCATTTACATAATGAACAGACAGTAGTTATATGCTAATCTGCGAAACGAAGACATTGACCACATCTACACAGTATCGTAAAATGACGTCACGGCTGAAGACTATGTCATTCAAAGTGGCAACGGTGTTTTGCTGTGCAGTCGCTCGTCACTTTGAATATAATAAATTATTGTGTATTGAAAGACTATTACATCCAATTACGTAACATACGCGTTATGTCACTAAATTCCCATGCATGGATAAACATATTCATGGAAATCAATTTCGCATCGACTGTCATATGCACACGTGACACTGAAAGATCTAGAAATTAGGTAACGGGGGGGGGGCGTGGTCCTATTGAATATCCTCATGACGTGGCCTTGGTGGGGGGAGACTGGCACCATAGTCATTCTAAATTGCCACAGCAAACACCGGAAATCACTAGCGATATTGACCGACATTATTAAGCAGCCTGGCCATTGCGAGAAGAAAAAACTCGTAACTTGTCCGTAAATACTAAGGAAATGAGTTGCTGTATCATAACTGCATTCCTTATTCTCTAATAAAATTAAACATATTCAAAATAATTATCATTTGAATGTCGTTGATTGGAGTTTTAATCTGTAGTAAATTTATCGTACTTTATTTCAATTGTCTCAATATTCGTGTAATACATTTTATTTTCTAAAATTCGCATTGTTTGAAATTTGTATCAGTGCGTAGATGACATTTTTACAGTTGTGAGTGTATCTAAACATTTGTATAGACAATATAGTTCCGTCAGTACCGTCCCGCTCCTACTTCATCGAGCACACGTTTGAGCGTCTGTACCGGATATATTAGCCACAACAGCGTATGATGGTCGTACTAGTCAGAGTGGTTTTTCACATATACACTAACATCAATAACGTACATTAAACACTGCTCTGGCATACATACTGTGTAAATTACGTATTCTCAGGTAATTTACGGAGACTATTGGGAATTATTTACAGCGTTGTCAATGTTATCTGGAATCAATCGATCTGCGAAAGATACTTTGATTGTCCTACAGGGGGACATTACTTACGATTGGGTGAGAAATCATTCTAGCGGGAAGTAATATTGTAGTTATATTCGTTCTGATTATTATGCGTGAATAAAGAAATAACAAGTATTACAAAGTGTATGCAACGGCTCGTTAATAAATAAATAAATAAATAAATAAATAAATAAATAAATAAATAAATAAATAAATAAATAAATAAATAAATAAATAAATAAATAAATAAATAAATAAACTAAGAAACAAACAAACAAACAAACAAACAAAGAAACAAACAAGCAAACAAACAAACAAACAAACAAATAAATAAATAAATAAATAAATAGCTTTTTAACCGATTCATTAAATTTTATCTGTTTTTGGTGATGTTTTAATAGTTTGTAGTAATTATTCAAATAAGAATTAACATCTTGACTTTTATTAATGACGCACTGAGGGATGATTTTATCTTATCAATCGGAAGGTCACTTCAAGGGGCACACGTCTATACTCGGTTAGAACTTGAGACTTCCGATCCAAGTGTTACATTTAAAATACCATGATAGGTAATAACGTCAACCGATCTAATGAGACCATCGGGATGGGAAAGAAAGCTGAACATTTTAAATAGTTTTCGTATGTCTAAACATATTATATAGTCACGTGGTATTTTGATTGCAATTCTCTCATTTGTTTGATTCCAAAAATCACTTTGTCTAAATTTTTTGACTTTGAAATTAATGTATGCTAAAACCACTCAGACCAAGACTACTCATGCACAATTAGGTATATATATATATATAGATATATAAGGTAAAAATATATATTCATCCAACAAGATGTAGCCCAATCGAAACATTGTTACTGAAATTACGATGCCGAATTGCAGTTTCACTACCATAATGCAAGTTTATATCGGGTTTTTCATAATTGTTTGTACGTCACTGATATCATGAGAATTGGCAGCTTTCTTGTTATCGAAATTCGATGAAAAAATTTATTGATTTTAGTATGCTTTGCTTAATTAATTGAGCATGACATTTGCACAGTTGCTATGACTCTGTTATAAGAGTCTTGATTCACTTGGCATTACCGGGCATACTTTGATTTGATCTTCTTTTATTGTACAATCTAAATGATACAAAACGATTCAACTTTGCAGACAGTTACAGAAAAAATCAACATTTTAGTATGTACATTTATTCTCTGTTGCCTAAAGTTCAAGGACACCCATTAAAATATGTAGACTTGATTGTGCACAGATGAAGTACTTACAGTTTTTTCGGAAGCACATTACTTGGCAGAAATACTAGCCGAGGTTCCTAACATAGTCGTACGCATTGATGTAGTATAGCCGTCCTCTAATATAGAGATTTGCACCAATGATTTTCCGAGGCAAGGGACTGTGGCACGTTATCATTATTTGTTCATCTCGTGTTTAAAGGGGCGATGGTCGCGGGGATGGTCGTCGCTTGTTTACAAGAAATTCGGAGACACACTGCGCGACGACTACCGCCCTTTAACTTCCATATGTCTTATATGTTAATTTATTAATTGCACTCAGATACTGCTTCTCTACTGGAGATACATTTTCAAACACTACACGTGACTAACCCGATAAAATATAAATTGTTAAAATTGTGCGCACTACACACACGTGTTTAGTCGTGATCCAATAACTGCTTAAGTCTTCTAGTGTGCATGCCTGAAGATGTCACAATAATTGACATAAAACAAAATACCAGAGTATACGTCCTCGTGCATCGTACACTACGGTATTCGATGAGAACAATGCCGTACGTAGCATGCGATGCACAAGAACGTGAATTCCGCTATTTTGTGTATAACATTATTAATATATAAATATATTATTATTATGAGTATATGATGATTTGAGGCTATGACGTTTAGTTATTTTCATAATGATATTGATACATTGTCATGGAACATCTCGTGAGTATTTAGACTCAGTTCCAGGCCTAGCAGTTGAGCAATAAACACCTTGGCTACATGTGCTCCTCTCCAGTGTGTTATTCTCCTCCCGGATTTGGTGACCGATACTCACTTGGTTCACTCTGCCTTGAGAAGTCTGTTCTCAATTTACATAGTGCAATAACGAAAATTACTGGAGTGCTCACGGCCATAGGTTACAGAGCTGGACGTATAATAATGTTATATTTTTGTAATTTATACATGCGTCGTTCATGTAACATATAATAAATGTTATACAGAAATGGTAGTTTTTTTTCTTCATGTATTTGCTCCAAAAGGGCCATTCACCTAGTAAATTGAACAAACGTAAAATTCATATTCAAATGAACCTGTACACACAAGTACAACTGAAGTCATGCTACTCACATTATTGCTATTATTGGTGCGTGCAATGACGATTATAAAGTGTACATATTGGGATACACATATCAATTTATATTAAGCAATAGTTTGGTATATCATTTGTGTGAAACTCGTATATATGCTAGGTGGTTGTCATGGCATTATGTTTATGTATTTTGTTAGATGCACACACTTTATTACGACTGTTCGAAATGACGCGAATACGTAACAAATTAAAATACCATCCATATTTGCGCTTATCGTCGTCCTTCTGATATTTTACAAACTTTACTCTCCTAATTAACTAAACTGACTGAACTTAAATGGTCACATATTTGTAAGTGTGGTACATATACCAATCACACAACGTAAGTGAATAGATGACTCATTGTGGACAACTACTACGATTTCAAAAGATTCCATTAATCCACATTGAAATAGGCACTGCGTTGTTAAATGATTTGAAAAAATGCGAGATCGATACAAGAAATGTATTCACCCTTGTAGCCATGCTGTTATTAATGTAATGGTAAATGTAGAAATTGCAAAGAACGTGGAAAACGGAGTGAAACACGCAGACCACCCGACAAGCAATGCTACTAAGATTTCCACAACTTAAGTAGTTTTCTACTCAGTTATCCAAACAATTCAGTGACATGCATAGTATATAACTGGAAGCTGCATTGGAACATTCAAATATCATACAACTTACACACGTACCAAGAAAAAAGAAGAGGTATATGGAAACGAACAAATCAAACATATATATTTCTGAAATATACACAACATGAAAACAATAATTACATTAATACACAATACAACTGAACCTCACAAAATATTATTCAGTTTTATTTATAAACAAACAAATGCGTAATAACTATTATTGCATGAACCAAGTATCGTTGCATATATAAATTATTGAAAAGCAACAGGCATACGACTTTTATAAATAGAAGCCATGTTCCGGTTTATACGGAAACACTAGACGCAATCCGACTTAAACGGCCACAGTAGAAGACATGTTCCGGTATACATGGCCACCATAGAAGACATGTAAATATGTGAAAGTGAAATTTTTGTAAACTGGAGTACACAAACTTTTATAATATATACTGACCATTATATTTTTTTTATCCAACTAACTCGGCATTTGGAAAATTTCAAAATGAACAATTATAATGAGGCCATTATATATACGAAATAAAATCATTAAACAATCTTGTGTAAAAATGTTTAGATTAGAAGTGATTTGGCTATTACGTTTTTGACTGCAATACATTATTATCCTAAACACTGAATACCAAATGTCTCAAAGGTATTGCTTTTTATGGACAACATCTAAATGATATCAGTTTAACCATTACTATTCATGTATGTAACAGAGATGATATTAACAATACATACTTTTTCTGTCAAGGTTTAGGTCAAAACTTACTAGACAAATGGTTCGCAAATTGCATTTAACAAATGTTGATAAATGCATTAAATATCCAATATTTATAATTAGTGATTATTTCAGGTAATACACAAAATATTACTAAATGTGCAACAAGAATGTGAATTCTTTTTGTTGAATTGGTATTGGTATTTTCACCTGCCACAAAAGGGTGAAAGGATCATTAAATGTAAGACATTACTTGGTAATCATGACCAGCCAATTACAATGCGATCAGAACTGTGAACAAGGTGTTTCATTTCTCTCATAACTGGAAATGGTATATGGATCGATTTATATACAGTGCTGAACCTGCTATGACTGTGCCCTATTTGCAAGACAGCAGAATATTTACAATCAAAAAGGTCTACCGTGATGCAGTTGCAATAAATAAAACTTCCTCTCCTCTCCAATAGTTTACTTTGTTTGGTAACCATACCCAACGTAAAGAAATGTGTACCCAACCTTTCTGGACTTATTTCAGTGTCAATATTCATTCATACAAATCGACTGAACTAAAACAGACTAAAACAGGAAACCTATGAGTTATACAGACAACTACATGGCTATACTAATGAAGACTTATATCAATGACACACGATTTAACGGTACTAAGTTTTTTTCTACATGTAGTGTAATGATACATGACCTTACAAGTTCTGCTTCGACAGGCAAATATCATAAGGGAAATAAAAAGACTCAAATGGCATTTCGAGAATTTGTCTTGGTGAGAACAAGATATGGATACACACAATTATAATTGGTATATTGTCATCCATGGAGTGAAAATACAAGCAACTTACACTACATGTATTTCTAAGAAATGGTCCCAAATTTTTACATAAGCTCAGCAACACAATTTTAATTAGATATGAGAATCATATTTTACATAGTTCGAAATTCACTAAATATTATTTTTAATGTTTTAAACTCCAATTTTCATCTCCAGCTGTTGTCTACAGTTACAAACTCCTCTGCCTGCCACTTATTGAACATTCGAGCAATCTGAGACCATTCCTAACTTCACTGGAAGAACACTTGAATAATAATTAGATTATCTAAACTGATTTACACTTGGTATGTATATAATATATTGCAAATCAGAGAACCCTACAGTAAACGCATAAACACAGTCTTAAGATTTGCAATAGATACAACATATATGTAATGTGCAGAAAATTGGAAAAAAAAAAAACGGTTTCAAGTTAAATGCATACATATAGATAGAAAGTAACAATGTAAAAACAAATATATTCTTATGTAAAAATAAAGGCAATTAATATTCTTATATTATGTATACCTGGGTAGTTTATGACCAACTCCACACTCGTCCAAATTGAATAACAAAGAAATCACTACTAAATCAAATATACAACTTACAGAACAATTGCACATATATATATATATATATAAGTATACTGTATGTATACTTTCTTAAAACAACAAACATGATTGCAATGGCTAACAACAAATCAATTGAAAGTGCATTCAATCTGTATATTAGTAATCAATGGAAACGAAAATACTACTTATGGAGCAACTCAGTGCAAATTAACCTATGACCTACAGTATGAAAAATGACTTGCTTCATGAGGAGGATGCATGTTTTTTTTACAATGAGTATGTCAGGTCACAGTTACCACAACCACGGGTTGACCAGATTATAAATCATTGTGAGGTAAATCATATTCTTAGTTTTCTTAGAAACATTTAAATTAGAATATGTGTGTTTAGACAATCTTTTACTGAGAAATTGCACAGATGAATGAATGAATGAATGAATTAACAAACTGATTGACAATGGATAGATGGATGGAATCAATGACTACATTGTAGAATGGATGGATGGATGGATGAATGAATGAAAATGAATGAATGAATGGATAGAATCAATGACTACATTGTAGAATGGATGGATGGATGAATGAATGAATGAATGAATTGGATTGATGATTGCATGGTTGATAAATAGGCGAATATACAGAGAAAAGGAAGAACAGATAAGTAAATCAAATAGAATATATGATGGATGGATGACACTTGTATGGTGATGTATAAGGATAGATGGAAGAATGTATTAATGAATGAATGAATGAATAAATGAATGAATGAACAAAACATTCATCTGCAACACAGATACGATTACTGGTTACAGACTGTACGTAGAACTGACTGAATACGGTACAAATCAATAAAAACAATGGATTACATCTATCACATATATACGATTACATTGTTATGTGACTTAATGCTATAATCTAAAGTGATATGTAGAGTAGAAACATGGATGTCAAATTATATCTCTAATGATAATTTGTTGTAATAGGTGCATAATTTGCATATTAGCCATAACTGGGATTTCAACGATGATATCTAGTATGTAAAACATGTTGCAATGCTTCCACAAAATTATGAATAAATTTACATACATTAGTGAACTGCCCAAAGTGTATTAGTCTTTGGTATATGAGGTAAAATAAAACAAAACATAGTCTATACATCTTTGGCAGTTAACAGAGAAAAACAACAAAATAATCTATGCGTCTTCAAGGTGTTCAGGTTTATACATGTGACCAGCAACGAGTGGGTTTATCGTAATTAGCCTGCGGGATGAAAAGACCCATTATGGCACCCACAGAATGCAACAGCTTTATCACAAATATAGATGTAGGTATGGGACACCGGGAGATTTTTTCAAAGGAGTTGACTTGTGATTGGGTGAAGTAATCGCATGTGTTCTGCACCTTTGATGTTGAGTTTATTTTTAGAATAGTGATCTATGATATCAGGAATCATGTGGAATGGCTTGCTGAATTCACCGAGAATGTAACCTTCTTTGTGTCTTACAATCTTCATATGCATGAATCCTCTTGCACTCCTAGAAATGAACAAGGTAGAGGTTTATTACATGCATATGCAATACATGTTTTAGAACAGAAAAGCCCAGGGTCCAGTGATCAAATTCTGCATTGACTGCTGTCATTTGTACAAACCATTGATACACAGCTGTTAATTATCCAAGTTTAGCTGGATTTTTGTTGTAATAATTATTGTATGCTTAAATTTTCATGAATATTCAATACAAGGGGTTTAGAAAAGGAACATACAGGTAGTAATTCACACTCCAGTTAAGCACGTATTGACTGTTGCCATGGGTACAGACTGTGTTGCTATGCGGAGAACATGTGATCAAGCTTACAAAAGTTCAAATGAATTTTGTTAACATGTATGGGTTTGTTTTGGAGACTAAAATCAGGAGTTTTTCTATAAAAAAAGTGTTAAGAGGGAGCACACCTCTGAAGCGTGTAATTATAGGTCCTAAAACCTCAGAAATTAAGACATTATAATCTGATGAGTATTTTGATATGCAGGTGCTGCGCCCTTGTTTCTCTGTCTGGAAGAACCCTTTAAAGTTCATGTATATGATCTGGGAGGCATGTAATACAAATAGTAGAATACTTCATTTTCGCTTGGAATTTATTTTCGCTGAAGGGATGATTCAGTGAAAATAAAATTTAGGGAATATACTTTTTTTCCTATATTTCACATTAAACTCATCAAAAATCAGTGAAAATAAATTCCATACAAAACGCCCAAAAAGCCTTTTCAGCGAAAATTAATTCCAGCGAAAATAATACAGTCTGAATACGAGTGTTTGTGTCACCTTGCACAAGGAGAACAAGTCTGCAAAGTGATTTCCGGTGCAAATAATCTGAAGGCAGGAAATTGTGATTAGATAGTTTGAGGGCATTTGCAATGACCAAATTTCATGAAATTTGCATTTTACATACAAATACATGTAGGTGTTGTATATTTCCCATGATGCATTACCATGAAGAGTGGCGTATGTATATTTGGTACTCAGAGTCAATAATGTGTTTACACATGGAATTAAAGTGAAGAGTATGTTAAATACACTATTACAGAATGACATTTAGAGATTAATCAATATTCGCAAAATTCATGACAATTCTCAGTACCACAAATACCATGCATCTATTCGATTCAGCATTGAACACATGATTTTTAAACTTCCGGGGGTCAACACATTTTGTGTTCTATAGTACAAATCACAGACAGCACACAATATTTTATACAGAAAAGCAAACATCAGTGATCCATCAGCCATTGTAGAAGTGACGTCATGTCTGCTACATGTGTTTTTGTATTCTATGTGTTTTTTGTATTTTCATTGAAGGAAATGATATAAATGATATAAATGCAATTTTCAGTGTCATTTTGATGTTAAATTTGTCATCTCTATTCAAACTTATAATGGCTATTTTTACATATCACTGAAACACATCAGCTCATTTCAATGTATGCAGAGGGTCTGCAAGGGGTATTTTCATAAGCTGTAATCAATTGTTTTTATTTTCGTAATAATGTAATTTAAATAAATAAAAAACGTAAATTCGTAGACATGGGCAAGGTGTAAAATGTAATCAGCTATTTTATTCGTCCGTAATTTGTACAAAGATCTTATATTTTTGTAAGCGTATAAAGCATTTTCCACATTAAATGTCGTAATTCTTACGCAATTTTCAATTTTGATTCTTAAACACAAATTATCAAATATATTATAAAAATGTAATTAGGAATTTGATTCATCTGCAAAGTGTAAGAACCTATTTTTACTGTAAATGGAACTTTCATTTTATTTCCTGTAAAAAAGTAAAATGCCTTTTTTATTTCCTGTAACCTGTACCGGGTACCTCCCCCCCCCCAATGCAATATTAGTTGATATACATCATAAGATACCAATAAAAAATACTACCCTTGACTGAGAATCCGAAATAAGAAAATATTTGGTCTTATAAGCCATTATTTTTCAGAAATTATTTACACAGCAACAAGTGAAATATTACAGATCAGTTGAGATTTGGAACCAAGTTTAAAACATGTCTATTTGTTTTGTGTTAATTTTCAACCTATTCACTTAATAAATATTCAATCTTTATTATGTCTTCATGATGAGCCAATTTTTGTTTCACGTTTTTAGCGGCTTTAAATTAAACCGATTGGGTGCATATTTAATTTATAAAATTAAAATTTACTCAAATATTTCCACATTTTTTGGACAATTTCTAACAAATTGATAAAGTATCAGTTCTTCTATTGCGTTACGCAAATGTTTACTTTGTCAACTATTTCCCATGGTGCAATGTGCAAAACACAGTGAGAATATTCCAGAGATGCACACACTTGAGGTACTGAGAATGGTCATTTATTTCCCATGATGCATTACCATAATGAGTGACATAATGTAAATTTGATACTGGAAGATCTAGCAAGATAACCTGCCCACACAGGGAATTTAATGAGTAGTACCTTAAACACACTATTACACCTGAATCACACTTAATGAGAGACGGCCTATTGAGAAACCCTTATATGGAAAGCTATCTACGATAAGTGGAACTAATGATAGCCTGACTCAATCTTTTTTTATTCACAGAAAACACAATGGCTGCTCAAGTGAATGCAATTTGTATATGGACATACATGACAAAATTTAGTTGTATGATTTTTTTGATTTTTCTATGCCTACTACTAAGCGACATGGATGAATCTAAAATATTACCCATTCACAAAATTGCTTACTTTGACAAATAAAAGCGACACCTGAAATAAAGGAATCTGAAATTAGTGGTAAATAAATTCCAAACTAATTTACAATGGAAATTTCATACGTTAAGATTTTTAATATCAACCAAAAATATTGATCAAAAAATCTTCAGCTAATTGGAATTTACGTATATTTGGTTCGAAATTAAATAAAATACAATTGTTGGCATGGAAACTGTTCTGTTGTTCAAAGCATTGATTCATAAATATTTTGACATTTCAACAAATTATTAACACATCACATACTGACACCTTTTGTAGCCATTTATTTCAGCTACCCTGCAAGCTTTCCTGTGTCAACTGTGACCAATAGTTAGAAAAAGTGAAGAAAAAAACTTGGGGTCTCTGAACTACTTTTTTTTAAATTACAAATCTCAATTTGATGTGTTTTGATTATTCTTCAATTCAAAATGGCCACCAGAGTAAGGTTTAAAGCAATCACAAAGTCATTGTTTCCATGAAAACAAGTTAGGAAACCCTCTCATGTTATTTTCCAATGTCATGTATTGGGGGAAAGAATCAAGAAAATATAAAGTATTTTAATGCTTTATAGATTTTCATAATTTTTATCTATTTAGCTACATCAAGACACCTCTGCAAAGCAAAGAAAAATTATTTGTACTATTCCAAGAGTTATGTTTTCACTTTAGAATTGTGCAGACTAACAATATTTTAAATTGAAATGGCCACATGTAATCATAATATTAAATTGAAATGGCCACATGTAATCATAATATTAAATTGAAATGGCCACATGTAATCATAATATTAAATTGAAATGGCCACATGTAATCATAATATTAAATAATACAATATTTAATAGATTTTTTTCAAAAACCTCAACAAATAATGTTATGTTATTTGCCCCCCAGGCACAATGGTTACTCAGCAGTTTGTTCCTTATTGAAACAGTCATAATAACACAAGATTTAAAATAAAGCTGGTATTATATGGACTGTTTAATCATCTACTAGAGGTAGAAATATTAGAAGAGGGAAACCAATTAAGTTGATATAATTTATCGCCTATTTATAGTAGTTGTACATATGAACTAGAGAATATATTTACTTTTGGTTACTAAGATTATCATGCTATCACATAAATATATTTTTATTTTATTTTTTTTTACAACATTTGGAATTTCAGATTACAGATTAAATTAGTGGGATATGTATATCCTACCTTATTAGGAAATTTGAATTCCAAATAAAGAACAATTGTTTGTTAATTTGTTTCCAAGATGGCTTCTCTGCTTCATAAATGAAAAATGTTCTACAAATAATAACTCCCAGATACTCTGATAACGATTATCTAAGACATGCATTTATCTTAAAAACAGAGAGAAGTACTTACTTAAGTGATAATGAATAGTCTTTGGCACTACCACTCTCGCTTTGTCTCACTAAAAAACTCCAATCATCATAAATTCTAAGAATACTCTCTGCCTCGTGTCGGGATAATTTACCATGATACCACCTAGGAAAATACATTATAATCAAAAAACAATCAAATAATCATAATCTAACAGATACACCTTTTATTGTATTTATTTATTTATATTTATTGCCTCAAGATGAGTGATGCAAGGCAAGGCAAGGCAAATGAAAAATGCACAATATATGTGCTATGCAATGGCGATACATGTACATGTACATGTAGCACAAATGTAGAAATAGTGACGGCCAAAAAACCCGTAGTGCATAATGCAATTACCATACAAATAAAAAACAAAAAAATAGGCCAATGGCCTGATGCTCAACGGCTATTGTACAAAAGATTAGTGCTGTATATGACAAATACCCCAAAAGGCAGTGAGTGAGACAATAAAACATAATGCTGAAAAGTGGAATTTTTTACAAAAATAACAGAAATATTAAATAAAATTAGAATCAAAGAGAGCCTAAAAAGAACTCCAGTGTGTTGAGAGAATAACATAACATGATATTTGCAATTATCTGAATTTGTAATACGTGTATATACCAAGTTTTGTTGAAATATGTTGAATGGTTCTTGAAATAGCACCCAAATAGCTTGAATTTCACTAGCTGATATGCAAATTATCTAATTTCCACCAAAAACAAAATATATCTGGAAACTGCCCCAACACATCTATGCATCAATTTTATTTAAACATATTAAATGGTTCTCAAGATATCACCAAAATAGCCTAAATACTGGTATGTAAATTAGGCAATTTGCATAATTTTCCACCAAAATCAATCATGTCTATATACATTTAAATATGTTGAGTGGTTATGTTTTCATTACAATCACAATAGACCAATCAAAGAAAACTTAGAACTCCCATGTGCTATGTGAGAATGAGAAACAGTTGGGAAACATTACATATCTCCCTGTGAGCATATAATTTCAATATGGCATCATTGTATAATATTCCTAAGTTTTGTCCATTTTCTGACAACTGTAGTGCATTAAGGAAAAGGTAATGAAAAAAATCACGAATTTCTGAAATTTTTGATAAATTTGGCCACTTTTAGTGACAGGGTGAAGTGTCATCCAAGCTACATGTGTACTGGTTTTGAAGAACAAGTCAAAAGCACTATTTTTGATGAAAAATGACAAAATATTTGCTAAAAATAGAGAATTGAAGATGTCAACACAAAATGAACAAATCTGATAGAGGTCCACCCAAGGTATATACCACGCGAGTTTGAGTGCAATCGGACCATCAGTTTCAGAGAAGAAGTCGAAAATAGCATTTTTGACCAAAAAATTTTTTTTTAAATATTCGCCAAAATTAGGAAATTGAAAATTTCCTTACCAAATTAACAAAACTGATAGAGGACAACCCAAGGCACATGCACTATCAATATCAGCACTGTAGACCACTTAGTGTCATAGTAGCATAGAAGAAATTTTAAAGTTTTGGGGGGCTAATTTGCATAATTTTTGGCAGATCAACTTCTCATGAACAAATTACCATCTACACTCATCAAGGCATCCACACACCAAAAATCGAGTCAATCGGTTTGCCGGTTTTTGAGAAGAAGTCGTGCACAGACAGACAAATAGATAGACGGACGCAGGACAGAAACCCATCCCAAAGGCTTCAGCGGACCTATGGTATGTTTAGTCAAAAAAAAGTTAGCAATATTTACTTTTGTTCCTCTAATGGTATACTTGGATCTATTGTTTCTCCCAGTGTTTCAATTCTTGGTTTGATATCCAATTTCAAACCTGTTTTCTTTGGTGACTGACGTGGACTATCGGTAGTTTTCATGTTTTCTAAAGTCTTCGGAGACTGAGGACATTGTATCGGCTCTGACATCTTGGAATAATCTATGGTAAATTTTTTTGGTGACTCCATTCTCTTGGGTGATTCTAATTCTGCATCGCCTGTAGTAATTATAGAAAGAGTCAATAAAAGAAATTAATTAATAAACAATAAAATAAACAATTAAATATACTGGTAGTTCCTCATAGCGCAATTTGACCAAATATGGTGTAATGGTTAACGTATCTACCCAGATTACAGTTTTGCTAACATTTCCACTCAACAGTAAAAATATAATTGCCAGGTTGCGACATTGATAGTGGAAAAATAGACACCAGTCGGAGAGGAGATTAAAACTGTGGAATACTTTATTTTCGCTGGAATTAATTTTTGCTGAAAAGGCTTTATGGGCATTTTGCTTGGAACTTTCACTGATTTTTGATGAGTTTAATTTTGAAATATAGGAAAAAAAGTATATTCGCTGGATTTTATTTTCACGGAATCATCCCTTCAGCGAAAATAAATTCCAAGCGAAAATAAAGTATTCTTAGTACAGTATTGTCCTGAACCTAAAGATTTACACAAAATCATTGATGAAACAAATCACAATTTCAAAATATAAAACCATTGAAGCTGTTATAATCTTATCTGGATTACATCACAATTGTTAACTTTTAACGAAATAATAAAAATTGAAATGTCAAATCGAGTTTCATTCGGATGAGCTACACTATGATGCATATGCAGACAAAATTACAGACATTACAGTGAGAGAATAATCCAAGCATTAAAGTATCTAAGCTGTATTACGACTATATAACTGTATAATTGCACTGTGGCACGCATAGGCCATTACTCTTGATATATTGTGTCTCATAAATACATACAAACCGTTATTATAGTTTGGATTTAAACTCCCCACATACACGTACGTGTTATTCGGACACTAACCGTCGGAATGCCCAACTTTTGTCGCCTTTACACAAAATATGTTTGTGAATCCGTAGATGTTTTACATATACGTTCAAAATGGGAAATTAAGTCAATTCGGTGAAAATGATGAATTATAGAAATAAACATAAAATATACATTTTCACGTTGTACCAACATTTAGGTCTGAAAAAATGGTCCCGCTTTTAGGAATAAGAACACAAGAATTGGAAGAATTCAATGAAATTGGGATTTCTCTATTAAAATTGGTTATAATATCATGTTTTGCGATATAACAAAGAAATGGTCTATTCTCATTGGTATATACCATGTGAAACTTCTACACAAGACGTTAAATGGGCAATGCTTGAGGTCAATGCATGTAGCCATCTACTGGTAAATGAATGTAATTGAATCTTATCATTTCACAATTTGTCATTTACTTGGCAGAAAATTAACCTATTATTAAACGTATGTACAATATAATATTGTCAAGGGCGAGTTTGTCTGCCCAGCACAAAGGTTTGACTGTGGTCGACTGACACATAGCAGTGAAAAAGAGCTACATCACTTGTCTCCTCTTTTCTTTTTGGCTAAAAGCCATTATAGTACAATGTATCCTCGTTAAAATGAGTGATGGATTATATATGGTAACTGGAATCAACTCTAATAACCTGTAAATGGAATTTCCAATCAAATAATTAAAAAATAAACTCAACAAATTTTTATATCACCGGGTCCCAAAACGATGAAAATTTGAGAAACCAACATTACAAATTCTATCACAGTTTATCTACAAATAATTTACATTTAATTCAGTTCTGTACATTCAAAATATCGCCGATTTACAAAACAGCTATCTTAAAATTATCTAAGGCGATGGTGATTGGTTACCACTCAAGAGCAGCTGCCCTACTATCTCAGATAAGGCAATTAGAGTTAATGGAGGTCTCGGGTCAAATTGAACTTAGTCAGAAAAAAAAATTAAATTTGGTACAAAGAGAAACTGCATATATTCAGTCATATTTCAATGTCATACAGGGTTATGCAGTGATTATTATTTTTTTAAATGTCAACTCAAACTTAAGAACAAAATGAGTTATATGATCACAGACAGACGTCAATAAACTGAGTTTCCATGATGCATTAACTAGGACACAGGTTACATAAAAAAAGTAGCAATTATATCAACATTATCGATCAGCAGCTGTCTACACTTTTATTTCATCGGTGAATTGATGTTTTATTTTTGATGTGTAAAAATGTGTTTTACATCAACGCATCTAGTATAGGATGAAAAAAAAAGATTGAAGATTTGTATGCAGGAATTTCATGAGTAGATTTGATGCCTTAACTTTTATGGTGAAGTCTTGATTGGGAGTAAAGGTGTATAGAAAGCACACATTGATTACTGTGGAATACTTTATTTTTGCTGGAATTAATTTTCGCTGAAAAGGTATTTTGGGCGTTTTGCTTGGAATTTATTTTCACTGATTTTTGATGAGATTAATGTAAAATATAGGAGAAAATGTATATTCGCTGGATTTTATTTTCACAGAGTCATCCCTTCAGCGAAAATAGCGAAAATAAATTCCAAGCGAATATAAAGTATTCTACAGTACTGTTACTCATAGTTTGATGAGTAAATTATACAGCTGTTTCTGTAGATTAATTTCTTTGGATTAATTGATGATACAATACACTGTCTATGTAAACATGTGTCTGTTTACTTAGGAAACTAATTATATTAATTGTCATTGTTGAAGAATTTAATTGGCTGGCAAGCTGTCTTTGAAAGAAAGGGTCTGGTTATCACTCTTGATGAGTCTTGGTAAACAATGAGAGTGTATACTTTGGTAAAGTGTCCGGTTAACAGGGAAAGTGTATACATGCATTGTTAACGAGACTGGGACGCAAAAAAAGTATATACTCTGTTAACATGTGTGGATAAAAAGAAAATAATAAACTGTATTTCCATCGATGTCTAACAAACAGTACAATGGCTTAACATTGGAAGGCGATGATCGTCGTGCCACACATCCACGTGATATGGGTCTCATTTCTCAACAAATATGGCGACTTTGACTGTTAGGCAGGATAACAGATACAAACTGAGAAGTTACTAAGTTTTAACTAGGTAATTGCGGTGGTGATTGGAAGGCATCAAAGGATCCACCAGCGGTAATTAGTGCATGTTGAAACTAGGTCAAAACGTGCGAGTTACATTAAAAGAGCACATTGGATTGTGGGAAAATCAATGTTTATCAACACAAATGTCGCACATGTACAGTGCAACGACCAGCTTCCTTTAAATTATCTTATAATTTAGACACTAAAGGCTGTCTACAGCTACTTTACAATTTTAATACACACTCGTAACGCCATACCCTGGTTTTAATGAAACGTTATTACTTTCTATTACAGCTGTCTTGAGCGACTAATTTGTCAAACAATGTACACACCATGATTGGCTTGTTTATCACTTGACTAGGGAGCACGTTATTTAAAGTAGCAAACATGACATGTGAAATATCAATGCTGATTTTTGTATGATGACGAAAAGTTAAATTCACGTTGTACATTTAGCACATAATCAAACAAAATATTATAATGCCAGACCCCCCCCCCCCCAATAAATTGTTCAGCAGATTCGCCACAAATTTCCAAATGTAACACGACAACGAAAATATACAGCAACAGTTATTTATTATAGTTTCACCAATGGTTCACTCTTTTGGGAATATATTCCTGTGTTACTATTGTGGTCTTTGTCGAAGGTTAACATAATCTAGAATTAGCAGAAAACTATATTTTATGTATAAAACAAAAAAAGTCATAAACAAATCTTAGTTCACTACTGTATTTTTACTTGAAAAATCAACTGATCAAGTTGTCTCTTGGGTCTGGCCTAATGATACATTTTGTTGATATCAATTGAGAACCTTATAGTTGATTGTACATAAAAGCACTGGATTATTAAAATTAAATTTTTTTTTGAAAATAGGCTCACATATGATAAGCACATATAATACTGATAGAGTAAATGAGGTACATACAATGTATGTACAAATCACTTTTCACCAAAAAGCACGAAGTTACACAATAAACGTGCGAAGTGATACAAGAACACATTTTTGATGTGGACCGTTATTTGTGGTGATAAGGTTAGAGTTGGTGGGTCTTTAAACATGTGACAATTCTGTGTCTGAGATCATTTGTCTGATCTTAGGAGACATGTGTGTCCACTCTTCAAATATGGCTGCCACATTTTAACGACTACTGTAAAATTTAACTGTTTCACCACATCTACCTCAAATGTTAACTGTAAACCTTCGCCATGATCAGCAGTTTAATGTAGGTCAAATAATATGAGACAGTAAAGCAGTGGATATAACTGCAGGCATAGTCTAATTGTTTTATAAACTTATTACTGAGTCTGTATAACAAGTAACTGCAACGCATGGATGACTTTGAAACAGCAATGGGAATCTCTGTATAGTTTAATAGTTGTGGAGATTCTTATCCCAGGGCTATAGATTAGACATCAGTTCAGTGAATATATGTGTCTTTGTATTAAGATTTATGTAGACCTTGGCATGTGAATCATCCCCGCTGAATCACGATGGTCAGTGAGGACTGCACAGCATACCAAATACAGGTCATCGGGGACTGTATTGTACGGAGATACAGGTGAAGCATTGATGTATTGAAAACTAGTACAGTTCAGTTTCTTACTCTTGCTATAATTGAGTTAATTCATTCAACTACTGTAGTTGTACATGTATCTGGGCTGTACCTGTAACTTAAGTGTTTATTAAGCCACTGCATCCTTGACTGAATTATATGAGGAAGGGAAATTCTAGTTTTCAAGAATGTGATTTGAAGAAACAAGTGTCAATCTGAAATAGATTCACTGTTCAGCAAAGCACAGTCTTGGAATAATAAATGTATGCTTACTTAAACATCATAGTGGAGAAATAAATAAAATAAAATTGAAATATGTTTGAAAATGGCTTGAATTAATTGATGTGATTTGTGTTGATTAGTATCATAACATATTGAACAGCTGTGATTTTTTTGTTAAATATAACACATAAAAACAAGCAGCCTCTCGGCTGAGATAGCTCCGCTATTAGCAATGCACATTTCAATTAAAGAACAAAAGATAACATTAGAAAATGAACAATATGCATAGTATCAATGCAATAGGACTTGCTGTTTTTAACAAGAATTCAAAAATATCATTTTTGACCATAAATGATTGTGGTTTTTAACAAGAAGTCGAAAATATCACTTTTTACCAAAAATGCCAAAAATATTTACCAAAATTAGAGAATTGAAGATATCATTACAAAATGAACAAATCTGAAAGAGCTCCACATGTAGTACCTATATATGTAATATCAAAGCAATTGGACTTGCCGTTTTTAACAAGAAGTCGAAAATATCACTTTTTACCAAAAATGACAAAAATATTCACCAAAATTAGAGAATTGAAGATATGATCATGAAATGAACAAATCTGAGAGAGGTCTACCTAAGGTACATATACACCAAGTATCAAAGCATTCAGGCTTGTAGTTTTCAAGAAGAAGTCGAAAAAGTAAAACATTGACACGGACGACGACGGACAATCACTCATATGATAAGCTCCGCTCGACAAAGTCGACAGCGGAGCTAAAAAAACCCATTCATGACTATGTGATAATGATTGTAAATTTATAAATCCGTGATGGGGAGCACGAATGTACTGGGGATTTAATTCATGCTACGGTATGCTGGCTAACGACTTTAGTTTACCATAATGGGAAGTAAGTCTGTGGAAGATCTGATTGTGCATAAAAAATCCTGGTGGTTACTGATACATAGACAGTACATCTGAGCAGTAATTCAATGATACAACCAAACAAATAATACATTTTCAAAAAAATTCCCTAAATAGCCGTTTCGAGATTCAGTATTAATTACTTTACATAGAAAATCAGAAAGCAGTAAAGTAGGAAACAAACATACTAGTTAAGGTTTTATAATATTTTGAGAAAAGAATTACAAGAAAAATCGAATGAAATGTACAACTAAATGCAGAAGGGCATTCCTGTCATCTTTAAAGTGGCATTAGCCGTGATTTTGAAATTTGTTTGTTTAAATATAACCACATAATGATGACCAAATCTTACCGAATAATCATTTTAGAGACGACTGCATAGACAAAGTGACCCTACACAAGGCTTTGAATGAGGATAAAATGGGATTTGAAAACTAAGGGTTGAATAATCGCCATTCTGTTGAAATCAGTCAAATGATGGTGATCGTGGAAAATCACCAAGCACGACAAACACTACTATGGG